CCGGTACTTACCTGTGGCCGTGGCATTGAGGGTTGCAGCAGGCAAAACACTCTGCGGAGCCAGAGGCCCGCGGTGCTTAGAGCAGCGGAAAAACACTCAAGTAGCAGGTAGGCCGGTACCGCACCCAGTAGCAGTAGATGTGCCGGGTACTCTAGGCCGAGCAGAAGAAGACAAAGTTGGCATTTTTAGAGGCCCAGTAGCGGTAGGCTAGGTCTAGGCTGGTACCAGTCAATCCAGTCTGAGTCTAGAGCCTGTACGGGCAATATCAGAGTCTGCAATGATGTTTCACTCCGAAAGGAAGGAGGTACCGGTTGCTTGGGTGGCCGAGCGGCCTGGAAGTCACCGCCCAGGAGGCAAGCAGGCAAGCTATATCAAGAGGCCGAGGCAAGAGCTCGGCCTCATTCTTCAGTGTGCAAGTTCGGCGACACACTGCTGGAGCGCCGCCTGGAGTAGCACTGGCTACTACAGCGTTGCTGGGAGGAAGAAGCCGGGAGCTTCCACCTTGGCTAGGGTGGAGCTCTACCGGTAGGAGGAGGAGGGAGAAGGGGACCAAGGAGGAGAGTGGCGAGGTACTTACCTGGCTATGGCGGACACGATCTTCATCACCTTGTTAGGCGCTGCATCTGGAAGACCCCAGTAGGGGTAGTGCCACACCGAGGAAGCTCAGGACAGAATCAGGCATGGCGGTTGAGTGGGCAGCGGCATAGCTGTCTGGTGTTGACCTTGGGACAGAAGGGCAGCGACATAGCTGCTTTGGGTTGTCCTTTGGACAGGAGGGTAGAGCCCTCAGTGCTCTGCCATAGCCTCGGCCTGCATGTAGAGGAAGAGGAAGGGTGGCCATGGCTATGGTGGACTTCATGTTGTGCCTGCAGCAGAAGTGGGATTCGGACATTGATTCTGGTTCAGCCATTCAACATTATTATTGTTATTTCTTGTTTGAATAAGAGGGAGGAAATAAGGACGTGGAGATTGGTTGGCGAAGAAGAAGAGCCTTGTCATTGGCCTATGCTGGAATACATCATCTTCTTCTTCTTCCTGACTTCTTCTTCTTCTTCTTCTTCTTCTTTCCCTCTCTCTTCTCTCAAGTTCATTCATTTCTTTTTGCAATTGGATGGCATTGTACTTTCTGATGAACGTATACTTCGAAATTGGCCAGGATCGTAATAGCATTCTTCCTTTTGTCCAGTCGACCACCGGTCACTAACTCCTGTGTCTGTGTTCCTTACTTTATGCTTCTCTCTACGCTGTAATCTTTTTTCTTGCGCACTCATCCATCAGTCACTGATGACACCTGTAACTTACCTTCCACTTCTACATTGCAATTTTTCAATCTTTCTTTCAATCTTTCTTGTGCACTCACCCATTAGAAACTAACTCTTGTACCTTATGTTGGGCTTTTTCCCCCCTTCAATTTGGACCATTTCTCGATTTATGTGTGCCATAATTGCACAGCAGGGGCCATGCTAATCTTCTTTCTCTGTATCTATCCAATTTTAACGGATGTCCCGAAGGACACCCTAGTTTGTGCTTTCTAGGTTGCAAACGTGGAGAATTCGTCACTGCCATCTTCAGTCCTTTCCCGTATCAAAACCATCATCAACACATCACAACCACCGTTGTTTAAGTACCCGTTATAAAATGCAAAAACCTGATCCATGACTCGAGAGAGCCAATGTAAAAGAACCCGCCGGACTGTAACTGCTATATACAACAGGAGTGTGACTGCTGCCTACACTGCAGTTTTTTGAGTTCGCACGTCACAGTTGCGGGTATTCTAGAAAGGCCTTCGGAAGACAAGACCGTTTGCTGGCATTGTGCACACACTTTCGCGAACACGATGAGCGATTTGTATTTTGAAGAGAAGATGTTTACTCTCAGCGCGTCTACTAGCACAAAACCAAAAAAGCGAACAGCCAGTGAGAATTGACTCGACTCATTCTAGTGGAACTCTCGAGATGCACCTATGCAATGCAGGCCTCTATGTGCAGGAAGACGAAAGCAATCCTCTCAGCGCCTTCATGGGACTCAAGACGCAAAGCGTCTACTAGCACAAAACCAAAAAAGCGAACAGCCGGTGAGAATTGACTCGACTCATTCTAGTTGAACTCTCGAGATGCACATATGCAATGCAGGCCTCTATCTGCAGGAAGACGAAAGCAATCCCTGATTTCACCACTCTGACATGTTCCATGTCAATGGTCTTCTTGGGAAAGAAGCACCGTGACATGGGCTATGCGAACAAGTGGGGAAACAACTTCGTCCCATGGTAACCCCGGACCCGGACACCGGACACTTCTGGACTGTCTTCCGGACCAGTGTCTGGACTGGTCCGGACTGTCCAGTGATCTGGACACCACCGGACAGCCCGGACCGGTCTCCGGGGTGCAAAAATGTCCGGAATAAAAAAAAACAAAAAAAAAAAAACAAAAAAAAACGGGGGGGGGGGGGGAGGGGGGGGGTGGGGTGGGGGTGTTGGCAGGCACTTACCTGCTTTGCACTCTGGGGGGTGTTGGCAGGCACTTACCTGCTTTAAGCTCTGTAGTTCAGGCAGCAGAGCACATGTCTTGCAGCAAATCAACCAGCACATTTAACTAGCAGACATGCAGAGTTGCAAACAGTGCAAAGCAGGCACAAGACTAAAGAAACAGAGAATTAAAAAAAAAAAAAAGTATGATTAACTTTGAACTTTGAACTTTGGATTTAGTAATTTAAGTTCATAACTTCATATACAACTGAAAAGTTCGAACTTTGCAGTTCAATTCAGAACCTCAGAGTCTTCAGACTGGCAGCACTGTCAGTGCTCTCTCTCTCTCTCTCTCTCTCTCTCTCTCTCTCCCCTAACCGGCAGGAGCGGCGGGCGCCACGTCGAAACGCCCGCTTTGAAATTGCTCGGGCCTGTGCGAAACTCGCCACCTCAAAAACCTGCAGTGTCTTGTGTCTGGACCTCTAGGCCATGTCCGGTGGGGTGAAAGGACACTTCAAAATCACCCCGTTATTTTTCGGGGGGCGGCTAGGACCTGACAAACGTCCTGGGCCGCCCCTTTTTTTTTTTTTTTTTTTTGCCCCAGGGGCCTCCATCCAGACATCGGGACCGGACACCGGACACCAGACACCGGACATCGGTAGATGGTTTGTGGCTTTTTCAATAACAACAGGGCTTCGCGGCCCTGGCTCCATATCCGTTCTGGGGAGCATCTGTCCGGTGCCAATTCCACCTGCAAGTCAGAAAGCTACACAACAGACTCTCCCAACACTCCTCCCCATTGTGGTTGGGAGGGCCGAGTGGACGGCAACTTCATCCCTGTCCTGTTTTCCGAGTGATGAGCGTTCTGCGCATACTACTTTCATAAAGGATACTTCGATTGCAAAATGGAAAAAAAAATCCCTGATACTTCCATTGCAAAATGTAGACTCCATACACGACAACGACACCATGATCGCATTAGTAGTAGGAAACCCAACATGTGAGGGGCAAGACATTCACGACATGAATTCCACCCCATTACACTGACAGAAGTATTTATACAGAGAGCAACATTGCATGTCTTCCAGCCAAAAGGAGCATCCACCACTTAATGCTAATCCAATCCAAACTAGTGCAACATGTTTTCCGGCAAACTTATGCAGTCAAAGCAATGGGAACCTGCAAGCACACAAACACACTCTATTTCCCACAAATGACACATTGATTTGAGGAAACCCAGCAATTGAGGGGCTACAACACATTCCCGACAGGAGCACCAGCCTGGTAGATCGATGCAAGCAGACAAATGATAGAAAAGCATTGGATGTCATTTGACCAAAGCCGCGAACCATCTACCGCTACCGAACTATTGCAATGTGTTTTCCATTAACCTACTTGTCCCAATGTACAGGGATCATTCGCTTAGAAATCTAAGCGAATCGTACCTTTGGAGGTGTTCCGGCACATAGTGAGATTACGAGGCTCATATTCGAACCTCAGGATGCTTTTTGGACTTTATCTTGATCGCTTGTGATTGAGAAATGAGAGATGGTCTTTCTCTTTTTCTCTCCAGATATACCCTCTCTGCAGGCAAAGCCATGCTCACACGCACCCTGCCCCACATCAAACACGCCCTCGATGTAAAATAGTAACATGGCTTAGTGGCCCGCTCTGAGAAGCTGTGTTTACATCGTAGTTGCAAACAGCAGAGCAGGAAAATCCTTGGCTATTATATGACCACTGCCAGAGCCCACATCATGGTTTTACACCCTAATTCCGATTATGGGGAGTGCTTTCGTTATCTACGACATCTATGTGCAACCGTCAGCAAGCTGAAGGGTCATCCTCGTCTACCCCGGCTACCCTGTTTCAGTCACTCTATCTCGCATAAAAGCTGTGACAACTGTAGCTATAATGATGCGAGCACTGTTTTCAATACACAAGGCAGCCCACGCTCCCAACGCGCTAGCATCTGCACTACCCCTGGATGCTAGAGGCAATCGCGTGGATCAGAACAAATGATTCAGAGACCAGTACTTCCGAGCCTCTTTTTCCCGAGGCTCAAAACGCCCCGCGCACCAAAAAGGAAGTTTGAGAAAGTAAGGGCCTCCTTTTGGCTGGCACCGCCAGGCATTTTGCTCTGGCAGCCGATCGCCGAAAGTTGCAGCGTCCATGCAGCCGAGTAGGAAAGAAACAGCTCGGAAATGTACCGGTGAGTCTGGTGGTTTAATGGGATGCAAATGGAGGAAGTGAAAGAAAGGGAGTCTGAAAATAAGCCATGCTGAGTCTAACTATTCACGAACAAAGTTCAACAAACATACATTTCTAGTGTCGTGGTGGGTTTATCGACACCCACGACCCACTGCTATACCCTGAGGAAGAGCACGGATACAGAGGTTTATGAGTGGTTCGGTGCATCAACTCTTGCGAGTTTCCTTTTCCATGTACGCACCAAGTCTGTGTCCTACACACATACACAGTTTTCACATATATTTCGCAATTGGAATGCCGGTTCAGGAGTTCAGATGGTCATTACCTCGCCTCCTTTAACTGATAGAAGGCATCCGAGTACGCCGTCACCAGGATAAGACAAATGTCCCCCTGCCATCACCGAACAGTTCATACAAAAGCCGTCGGAACATCCACTAAGAACACCATTATGAGTCCAATCAAGACACCAATCTCAGTTTGGTACATCGCTGAAAATTGTTGAAATGCAGACCCGAGATCGAGCTTCCAATGAGACCAAAAAAAAAAAAAAGAGAGAGAGAAGAATGTACTCCGAGAGGACATTGATGGTACCAATCTCCTTGTTCATGGTTGACTCGACACTACCATTTCTTGTTCATGGTTGACTCAACACTGTCATTCAAACGGTCCATGTCGACAAGTCCGGATCGTTTCACAATTTTTTAAAGAGAAGACAAGACCCAGTGATAACAGCCTTTGGTGGAGTACGAAGACACTGGGCTGTTAGAAGAAGACAGAGCTGAGAAGCTGGAAGTTATTTCAAATGCGGGTCCCACGTTGAATTTTTCAACGCACGTTGAATACACGGGGAAACTGCGTTGACCCCCCCCACCCGTTTATTGCAGTTCACCGCGACCCAGGAAGAATTTTTTTGCAGGCAAAAAATGAGCAAAAGTATATATATAGTCAAACAGAGATGCCCGGTAAACCATAGGCAGAGAGGGAGAAGAGGACAACAAACGAGGGGCTGTGGCAAACTGTTTCGTCGGAGTTTCACCAACTCACCAGGAGGCTGAACCCTCAACAGTCTGCAGAATCCCCTAACTGATTACACTGTAAGTGCTAATCCACTTTAACCCCGGCTGTGGTCAAGCATCAACGACTGCCCGACAACTGATACCCTGAGGTGGGCACCAACCACTATATATATACATATATGCAAGGAAAATAAGCAACAGCGAGATGACAATCCCAGATCACACCATCACATTGCAAGTCGAATAGTCACACCGTGTCCAGATAGCAGCATTGCACCAATAATACACCAATGGAGTTTCGTAGCATTGAAAACCAATGTCCGTGGAGAGCACACTCTCTCCCTCAACACACGAGTCCAGTTCCCTTACACTCACACTTGGCGCTCAGCGCCCAGCCTACTCCTACACAGCTACTACAGACTACAAAAAGACAATGCAACTGTTGACATCAGCAGCAGCCCGAAGTACTTGAAGATGCCGCCCAT